CAATTTTTTTGTGGACCCCATGTGAAATTGTGGTCCAACAGTTAAGATTCTAAAGCATTTGGTTCATGCTCGGTAGGTGCAATAATTGCTACGTATTAATGAGTAATGAGTTCTGTTCCTAGATGTACATGCCCTCAACAACTGAATTTAGTGAATTTACTGTATAGTTTCTTATTTTGCTACTGTCAAAGCAGCTTTTTGTTTACGTAGGATTCTTGATATTTTATTTTGCAAACTTTAATAGAAAGCAGGGTTTGTAAAGGGCACCAAGCCCAAAACAAGCAAAACTCTAACCTGTTCAACCACACATTTCATGCACGAATATGGTAGCTGTTTCATCAGCTAAAAGCATTAAAGTATTGATGATGTACCCTTTATTTTGCAAGGGCATCTGCATCAAATTTACTCTCTATGAAGATGGTTGGTGGACTGATATGGAATGATTACTCTGATGGCTTTCAACCAATGAAATATTTTTATAAGTATATTTTGTTTTCTTTCAAATAGAGAAGGAAACCAAATCAAAAGAAGAGATAGAGATACTACAAAAGCAATTAGGGAGACCCTAGGACAACAAGGGAATCAGTTAATCAGTTAAGGTGGGTGACTGAATTATTAAGGATTTGTATGTTTTATTTGAGTGAGATGAAAGGTGCGAAATACAAGGTAAACAACACTTTCTTCTATTTTGGATATCCAAACAATAAAATTTAATGCCATTCTGTCTTTTAACAGAGGCTATGCAGCACATCTTAAATGTTGTTGCTGTTTTCAAGAATTGGAATCAAATACAGAAGATAATTTCTATTAAATATAACCCTTTTATTACACATTTGAGTTAACATTTCAAAATAAAATTCCTGAAAGGTTGTTGGTTATCTATAAGAATGCAGAATTTAGGGAACCGGAATGAACACAAACGAACGGAAAAATATTAAAGAAGAACAATTAAAACTATTGAAGAAGTGAAAACTTTTTTTATTAAATCAGAAAACATTATAATTTATAAAACTTAAAAAAAAATAACCACCCAAAGTATTCTTAGAAATAAGCCATTTTTTAATGTATAAATCATATAATAAAATAGAATTAAAAGTTGAACACTTAACTGATTCCTTACAACTAGGAAACAATAACCATTTAAAAAATAAAATAAAACAGAATTAAAAGATGGACATAATTTTTCTAACTCTCCTCTTTAAGAGTTGCAAACATCAATTTTTTGTCTTAGAAACTCAAACTTGCTGATTGAAAGTGATTTTGTAAATAAATCTGCAAGTTGATTTTCAAATTTATAATAAATCAAAGTCACAAATTCATTTTTCTGCACTTCTCTTGAGAAAAACAATTTGATGTTAAAATGCTTAGTTTTTCATGAAATACAAGATTATGGGAAATAGCAATAGAAGCTTAGTTGTCAACAAAAATCTTGCTTGGTACTTTCTTTCTGCTTTAAACTTAGATTCATTACAATATTTTTTAATCATAAAGCTTGATTCAACAATTGTTGTTGCAATAAATTCCACTTCTATAGTGGATTGAGCCACAATTTCTTGCTTCTTTGAGTTTCATGAGAAAACATTTGATCCAAGAATAAAATAGTAGCTTGAAGTAATTTTCATATCGATAGAACCTCCCTAGTCACTATCAAAGAAACCCGCTAGTTTAAATTTTTTGCTCCATGTGAACTTAACATCAAAATCACGTGTTCCTTTGACATATCAAATTATTCTCTTGGCAGCTTTGGGATGTAATTGGTTTGCATAGTGCATAAATCTAGACACAATACTGACTACATTTAAAATATCATGACGTGGTGCAATAAGATACATTAAGCAACCAATCAAACTTCTAAAGTATCCCTCGTCAACTTTTTCAACTCCATCTTCCTTACTTAGCTTTTCCTTTTGATTCATAGGAGTGCTTGCTCCTTTGCATCCTTCAAACCTGAACTTTTTCAAAATCTCTTTGGCATATATCTTCTGGCAGATAAAGACTTTATACCCAACTTGCTTACGTCATCACCCTCGCTAGAGAGTCTTGCACCCTCAACGACTTCTGCTTCTTCTCCTTGGAGGTTCGCTCCGCCTCCGTCGCCGCGACGACACCCGAGCGCTACGCCAACAAGGATTGGATCAACAACGTTCGGTTTTACTCGTCTATGTTCCAGGAAATCCTCCAGTCCATCCCAAGCCTGAGAACTCCACGGTCATCCATCACCGCAACCTCTATGGCTGCTTCGTTTGTAGCAACACCCACAGCCACTCCGAACCAGGACCTTAAAACGCATAAAAACCCAAAATTTCTCAAAATATAACCCTCAATTCCAGAGACGAATCTCATATTGCACCCATCAACCTTAATCGAACCACAAGAACGTGGGAAACCCAATTTCAAATGGAATGAAACCCTACATCTAAAGTTGCAGAAGAAATCAGATGATCGAACAGAAAAACCCCCAAATCTTTAGAACAACTGAAACCCTAATCACAATCTTAGAAGAGGAAACTGAAACCCTAATCGCAATCTTAGAAGAGGAAGAGGATTACGCCCTGAATCAAAACCTGCAGAACAGGAAATCAAAATCATCCACCCAAAACGTCTCGCCGCACCACGAGAAAGGAGGAACTCTACCAGGCCAAGCGAAAGAAAGGACGCCTCCCTGAGTCGCGTCATCGCCTCCCTGAGTAGCACCATCTCCTCCCTGCAACTTTTAAACAGAACCAACAAAAAAAGAGGGAAAGAAGAATATTTTGACGTATTAATTTTTTTTTAATTTATTAAATTCCATGTCATCACTGCCACTATATTTTTTTAATAAAATATTCATCTCACCACCTCAGCACATTTTAACGCCGTTTGTAACAACTTAACGGTTAGGGCTTACAAATATTTGAACTCAATTGAGATATTTTACAAATATATAGACTCAATTGAGACAATTGAAAAATGAAGACCGAATTGATATTTCTATACAAAAGTTAGGATCAAGGGAGGATTTAAGCCTAAAACAGACTTAAAAGGTTTTAAACGAAGCTTTTCTCTAACAAAGGTCAAGTCCTGGTTACGAAGAAGACATCTTATCCATGAAAAAGTTTGACCGACTATCAACTTGAAGATGATGTAGGAGTAAATAATGACTTTTATGTAAGGTGAATGATTAACATACATATGATCAAATTAATCATAGATTATCAAATTAATCATAGATCAAGGCGTGGCATATTTATGCAACACTAAAGTCTTACCTAATTTACATTGTAAAGATATTGTCATAGCATATGGTAAATCATTATCATTGGTTTTAACCACTTTGATTATAAATAAGTTGAATTGTAGTTGTCATATGAAATGACAATTTTGATTTATTTATATTTATTATAAACTTGGTATGGTATCAGGACTTAGGTGTGACCATGTTTTTTTTTTTCAAAAATCTTGGAAAATTTATACCAAATTATCTTATAACATTCATAATTAACAATTATAACTCAATTTTTTTTAAATTACACCATATTAAAAATAATAAAGTCGTGCAAGAATTTCACGAGCAAAAATAATTACACTTAACCATAAATCCAAAAGTAATTATACTAAAATCGTCATATGTAAGCACAATTTGAATTCATATCCAGTTACACTAAAATTATCACATAAAATTATCACATGTAAGAATGACTTTAACTCAAAATCAATTTAATTGAAGCAGTCATATTAATACACACTTAGAGTTCAACTTGATAAAAATCATTTCATCTAATAACGACTTTAGTTGAAATTATTTTCAATTTTTTTTACATAATATAATCTCAATATATATAAACTTTTATATTTAAAGAAAAAGGAAAAAATTATGCTGATAGAAGATATGACAAATTAATTTGAACTTATTATCTATAACCTTTTAAGAGTATGAAAATAAATTTAAAAAGTAAACATTTATCACATAACTTAAAAAAGAAAAAGAGATAATACATTTAAAGAGATAGTTTTTTAAAAAAATTAAAATATCAATAAATTTATATATTTTAAATAACTTCTTAATTTGGTAAAAGAAAGTAAAATTTTACTAAAAATATATTTAATTTGTTTGGATGTTGAAAATTTAAGTATGTTCTATGCATGTGAATGAAAGCAAAGTTCCGATTCAATTTACTATTTATGTAGGGCAACAACATGATGAATCTCCAAGGCTTCAGTACAATCCCAGCAGTGGATGGAACAGTCTTTTTATGAACCAAAGGATATTTCAGTGTCCCCACTTGGAAATCTGTGTATGCTTCACTGTAATCCAGGGTTACTTTACTAAACTATGTGGTTATTAAAAAAAAAAAAAGTAATTTATCGAAGTGTTACAAACCTATGGACTCTTCCGGCTACATGTTTTAAGGATACGTTGATTGATTTATATAATGTTTATGATTATTATTATTGATAATAAATTAATTTTTATAAATCACGTAATGATACAATGATATTAAAATATTATAAAAAAATATTAAAGTACATATTTTAACAACTTTTAATAATAATTTTTTGACAAAAAATTATATTATTATTTTATTGATTCATTTAAATTTAATTTTAAAAACATTTAAAACAGATCAATCATATAAAATAATTATAAAAAAAATTTGTTAAAAAACATTTTTCTTTCGTTAATTAATATTCATGTTTTTCTTTACTTTACTTTTGTTGCATACCACTTTACTCAATTGTTCTTCTTTTCATTAACCTATTTCTTTCTCTTTGTATTTATCTCAATCTAATGCAATGGCAGACATTACCCATTTACCTATGGAACAGCTTCAGGACCTTGAGTGCTGCTTAAACAACCTTTTTTGTCTGATGACAACAATGACAGACATTACCCATCTTCAAATTAAAAACTAATTCAAGAATCTATACGAAGTTAAAGATAAAACATAAAAAGATACAAAAGTTTATTTTGCAAGATATTATTATATAATATCTACTGATAAAATTTTATAACTTGAACAATTTATTGCATACCACCAATTTATTGCGAAATATTTGCAGACAAGCTTCAACACACATGAAGCAGCATAAGAGAGGAAAAAGGAACTCTAACTTATTGGAACACAGAAGAAAAGCATGTTCAATCATTCTGAAGTTGTCCAAGTACAATGGTGTTGAGTGTCTCCCTCGTTAAAGGTGACTTAGGCATAACAAACTTGTTATAAACATCTTCCATGGTTGGACGAGAAAGTGGTCTTTCATTCAAACAAGCAAATGCCACTTTTGCAATGATGACCACCTCCTTAACAACTGGCATCACTGGAAGAGGTAGTCGTTGGTCCATCACGTCCTTCAATAGCAAATTAGCTGTTACTGATGTTGAAGATGGTGAATGCATAGAAGAAATCAGATCTCCTGGGTGATTTCCCATTATTATTTCCAAACAAAGCACCCCAAAACTGAACACGTCACATTTCTCATTCACTTCCATTGTATAAGCAAGCTCTGCATCAAATTGTTACACAAAAGGTGGCAATGCTTATTATTGAAACAGTTGTAGAGTTTCTTAAGATATGAAAAAGTTAAAGGGCCTAACCTGGTGCAGCATATCCACAAGTGCCTGCAAACGAAGTTAAATTACGTGAATTAGGGTTCAGAATCTTTGCTGTTCCAAAGTCAGATAAGCGAGCTTCATATTCCAAATCTATAAGAACATTCTTGCTTGATATGTCTCGATGAATGATAGGAGGAAAGCAACCATGATGCATATGATACAAAGCATTTGCCACTCCTTTAACAACGTTAACCCTCTTATTCCAATCAAACATTGCTGCATGTGTTTCGCTGCTTAGTACTTTATCCAAGCTGCCACCTTCTACGAACTCATAAACCAAGAAACAATAGCGTGGATGTTCACAAAACCCATGCAACTTCACAATGTTACGATGTTTGATTTCTGTCAAGGTTCGAACTTCAGATGTAAAAGCCTTAAAATCAACCATCTCCCTGTCAACTTCAACCTGAAGTTTCTTCACAGCAACAATCTGGCCAGAGGGTAAGATGGCCTTATAAACACCTCCAAACCCTCCTTTTCCGATGAGATATCTTTCATCGAAATTATTTGTTGCTTCGATGATGGTTTCATGCACTATTTTCCCATCATAATGCAATATAGAAAAAAGATCTCGATTTTGTTCTTCTTTCTCTTGCTTTTTCTTTTTTCTTGCTTTTTGCGAATGAATATATAGTGAAACTCCAACCACAAATAGTGCACCCAAAGCAAGGAATAGTAAAAACATCATGGTCTTGATATTATTAGGACTGTGGCTCAAGACCTGCGGGCAAGGCATCAGCCCAAAAGCATGGCCACACAAGTTTTTGTTGTTTTGCAGTGCTTGAAATGGAGCATTAAGAAAGGCTCGATTGTTAGGAATTGGACCCTCTAACTGGTTGTTAGATATGTCAACATTTGTCAAACTGAACATATTCTTAAAACTGGCAGAAATGTTTCCACTGAGATTGTTGTGGGAGAGGTTCAAGTTTTCCAACATCTTCAATTTTCCAAGTGTTGCTGGAATTTTTCCATTCAAAGAATTCCCACTAAGATCAAGTTCTCGAAGATGTTGCAATTGGCTAAATTCAGATGGAATGCTTTCCGTGAAATTGTTATGGCTTAAGTTCAAGTGATTTAACTTGAGCAACCTGCCGAGCTGTTTTGGGATTGGACCGCTTAAATTATTTGTTGCAAGATCAAAGAGCTGAAGGTTCTTTAAGGAACCAATTTCAATGGGAATATTGCCTGAAAGATTGTTCTTACTTATGGAGAGGTGAAACAATTGGGTCAAGTTCCCAAGTTCTTTTGGAATCTTTCCTGTTAGACGATTTGAAGAAAGTTCAAGCATTTGTAATTTAGGTGCCTGGCCTAACTCTGGGGGTATACCACCGAATAATCTGTTGTATGAGATAATTAGGCCTGTGAGATTATGACATTTGACCCAATTTGATGAAAGGTTGCCGTTGAAGGCATTTCTACTCAGATCTATGTATTTCAAATTTGGATACAGACCAAAATCATTTGGAATATTTCCCATCAACATATTTTTTGCAAGGTTGAGCCTCATAAGACTAGAGCAGTTCTTCAAACTTGATGGAATTGGACCAGTCAAACGATTTTCATTGGCTGCAAAATTTTGAAGTGACCCTCCAAGGCAAATATATTGTGGCAAAGGACCAGTGAAATGATTATAGCTTAGTTGTAAGTTTACTAAATTGGTCAGGTTACTTGTTGCTATTGAGAAGCTTCCGGTAAGTTTGTTCACATAAAGTAATAGAAAGGTAAGCTTAGTCAAATTTCTGAAGGTAGAGGGAATATGTCCAGAAAGTTTGTTTTGTGCAAGGTTAAGCCTTTCTAGATAGACCAAGTTTCCTATGGAAGCAGGAATTGATCCAGAAAGCTTGTTTTCAGCTATGGACAATTCAACGAGTGTTGTCAAGTTTCCAAGAGAGGAAGGAATTGACCCGTTTAGTATATTTCGAGTGAGCTGAAGTTTCACCAAATTAGGCAGGTCTCCTATGGAAGAAGGGATTGGCCCAGAAATATGATTATCTAACAACTTGATTGTTCTGAGATGATGAAGTCCTCCCAAATCCTCAGGAATGGGACCAGAGAGAAGGTTGCGGAAGAGGATAAGGTGTTCTAAATTTGTTAAGTTTCTAAGTGAAGGGATTGTACCAGAGAGAAGGTTGGATGATAAATCAAGTGTAACAAGATTTGTCAACATTCCAATTGTCAGGGGGATGGAATCACTAAAATAATTATGTCTCATTTCCAACACAGAAATTTTGGACATGTTACCAATTTGACGAGGAATAGGTCCACTGAGGTTGTTGTAACTTACATACAACCTCAGAAGCTTAGGAAAGGATGACAAGTTTAGATTGAGAAGTGTACCTTGTAGTCCAAAGTTTTTAAGATTTATAGTGCTGACAGAGTTGGATTCATCACAAACTATCCCCTTCCACTTGCAAGGGGTAGTGAAAGTAGACCAAGAAGACAAGGAAACCTGGCTTTGGTTATCAAGGCTGGCTTTCCACTTCAATAGAGCACTTGCTTCAATGTTTTCATCTTCGACAGCTTCATAGCCAAACATAACAGTACCGTTGGATAAAGATACACCAGAAACTTCCGAGGAATAGAACCTTAAAAGTGAAAAGAAAAAGGTGGTGAGAATATACTGAAATGTTACAAGCTTTGCGAACATCATGTTGGACTTTGAGGTAAGAGATGAATGCTCACAAAATGGTGTTTTTGCTTTCTGCATTATGTAGTGCAATTATTGTATTCCTGACCTCATGTAGGGTCCATTACTCGAATGCAGTTTGCTTGAAAAATAGCATGCAGCAAAAAAGTGTCGTTAATGAAGAGTTCATCTCCAACTTTGCAATTTTATGCTACACGAACTAAATACTCATTCATTGTATCTAACATGATTTCCATTCCTGTAAATTTTAGTAATTTTGTTGACGTGTAAGCTGTGCTCTGTTACTAAGAATTAAGAAAATTATGAATATCAAATTGTATTGAACATTCTATATAAAGGATATCTCTTCTGTTTAGTACAGTTTTCCGTAAAAAGACTAACTTTCCAAGCTTATCATATTATTAGCATGTTTGCAATTTAGTTCCAGAAGTTCTAACAAGTTAAAAAATCTGAAATAATGCAAGTGTATCTTAGGTTAAGTTGATTATAATCCAACCCAGAAACAGTTCATCCAAATGTATTATGCGTAGCTACATCATGAAGAGCTTTTCATCCAAATCTCAGCTCCAACTCATCAACTTCTCTGGTAACAAGTTCAATGGAGCAATATCTAAATGTATGGAAACGCTGCAAAATATGCAGTATCTTTGCAACATATGAACCTTAATACCAGAGTTGAATGTTAGATAGTAAGGGAAGTAAATACACGTTTATTGGTAGTACATGAATAGTTTTATTCAGAACTACTTTACAAGTAAAATAGTTTCACCATTTATGAGAATATACGTTCCGTATCACCATTTGTGAGAAGAGAAAATCTGTTTCTCTGTAGTTGTTGGTTCAGTATTAATTTTCTGAGGTACCAATAATTATTTTCACGTGCTAGAACAGACATAACTTTAAAATAAGAGCAGATATAACTATTACGTTGGCCACACCATATCCATTGTCCATTTCACAGTCACCAAACATCTAATGACAAAGTAAAAACCACATTATTTTATTTCTGGTAGAGGAAATTTGAGCTGCCATTCGCCACATCATTTTCAGTTCATACGATGATTCCATCTGTCACCATCAAATTTAAACTGTTGGTTCCTCTCCGACCAAACTCATGACCAATTCACGCCCGCCTCGAGGTATATCCATATGATATATGAGACTAGACGTTAAATAGTTCAATAACACTCTCATAATGAATATATAAAACAATATGTTAAGTAAATAAATATTCTTAGAATAAACTCTAATAATAATTTTGATATCATATTAAAGAGTAAATTTTAATCATAATTTAACTTTACAGTTTGATCACCAACTTATATATTCTAAATTAATTTTTATTATATATTCTAAATTAATTTTTATATATTTTAAATTAATCTTTTATCTATGTTATCTAACACTTATTTTTCTTTAAATTTATATAACTTTTTAAAACTTTAAAAATCATGACTTTATATATCAAATAATAAAAATGAGCTATCTTATAACTTTAGTGGAATTAAAGATTTGAAAAATCAAACTATATTTTCTATCGTCCTAAAGGGTTGTTAAAAAAACAATCATCAATTTTATCAGATAACAAAAATTACATGTCATTAAGTTTTAGGAATGATGAATTAACTTACCATATTGATTATAACAAAAGGAAAAGAAAAATGGTGTATTATTGTCATATGCTACTTCTTTTGTCATTATTCGTTAATAAATGTTAACAGGCAAACAACCATATAGAAGAAGATCTGGACCAGAAATTTTCAATTATGTGTGTACCTTTGCCAATTAAGATGAACACCTTTCGAGAAATTAGAGCTCACATGCCTTGTTTAAGCAAGTATTCGGGTACGTTTGGTGATATATTAATTTGTTTTGAAGTCTTTCAATTATTTTATAAAGAAATTTTTAAAATTATGTTTTAAGATCAATATCTACATCTTACTTCAACATAGATTTAGTCCCTATGAGATAATATTATATAGACAAATTCTATTTTATTTTTTTTTTATAATCGATAACCAATTCTGACTCTAATTGACGATAAAATATATTTTATTTTGTAATTAAATATAAAAAAATACTAATGGTATATAATTACTACAAAAACAATATATATTTTTTAAACATAATTTCAACTATTGAAATATTCAGAAAAGGTAAATTTTTTTAATTTTATTATCACTATTTTATTTATATTTCTTATCATTTCTTATTTATTTTTCTTTAATCGAAGACCCTTAATTACCATTTTTTTTTATTTTCTCTCGTTTCACCCAATACATTGTATAGATGGTGATTCTAATCAATGCAAACATTTGTGTGAATATATTTGAAAAGATTTCTCCATAAATATTTATAAAAAGAAAACTTCTTTATAATCTAAAATTAACCTATACCTAACCTAAGTTTAAAATATACAATAAATATATGGATTAAATATGTTTTTAGT